TAATTGCTCCCCATAGGTAATGTCAGGCCTAGTGAGATTGAGATACAAAAGCCTGCCAATAGTCCATCTATATTGGTCCGGTTATGGCAAAGGATCATCATTCTCAGATTGTAGCTTAACCGCACAAGGTAAAGGTGTGATGACTGGATGACAATCCAACAACCCCAAACCTCCAACTAAATGCAGTACATATTGTCTTTTACAAAGTGTAGTTCCTTGTTGTGTCCTTTCCACTCAACACCCAAGATATACTTAGCTCTGCCCAAATTTTGGTGTATGCCTTGTCCAGAAAAACTTTGAGTTCATAGACAAGAGCATCATTGTTGCTAGTAAATAGCACATCATCCATATAAACAAGATTGCCATAAAATCTTGTCCTCTATGATAAGTGAATACGCAATGATCACGTGGAGACTAAATCATGCCAAAAGATGAAGGCTTATCACTCAACTCCTTATTCCACTCTCCCGAAGTCTGTTTTAACCCATATAAACCCTTCTTCATTTGCAAACTTCTCCATGTTTAACTTTGTGATAATCTTGTGGTGGCTGCATATAACCTTCTTCAATAAGAGTGTCATGAAGGAAGACATTGCTGAAATCTATCTTATAAAGATTCCACTTATTCATTGTGACTATAGCTATGAAAATTCTAACTGTGACAAGCTTAGCAACAGGAGAGAAAATATCAAATAAATCAACCACTTCTTGTTGATTGTAACCCTTTGCCACTATTCTTGATTTGAACATATCCACTCCCATTTGACTTTTTTTTTTTTTTNNNNTGGTAAACCCACTTGGACACAATTGCTTTATTTTCCATTGGCAAAGGGGTGAGTTCCTAAGTGGTAATTGTCTCTAATGCCTCCAGTTCACTTTCCATGGCTTTAACCCAAGCTGGGTGAATTTTTTCTTCTCCATATCAATAGAAAAATTTGTTACTATTGTGTATATTTTTACTGGAGCAGAATCAAAAGATTCGAACACCGGGTCGTGTCTCACGAGGAAGATTAGCCGGAATAATTTGCACGTTTATTCAATCACACAAGAGAAATTAAACTCCTAAACATTCTAATTCAAATGATTGGATTGGTTTCAACTATCAACTACTACAAAAATTAAGTAAGCAATAAAATAAATAGCAAGCGAGGACGAAGAACACGTAGGATTTAGGGAGCTAGGGAGTCGGGGATATCCGTTTTGGTTCGAATTGCAATTGATGGGCTAGTGATTGTCCAGGTAAGTGATTTGAATAACTTACACGTTCAAGTACTCATCCTGAATAACTTTTCGTAACAAGAGAACAAATTAGAACGGCAAATTAACAAGTCATTTAACTTCTAGGCAATACAGTTACGAACAAGCCTAGCTTATGCGAGCCTATTTCGATCGACTCCTCCCCTTTCGGTTCTAAGAGTCGATTAACTTAGACTAGAAGGGGGTTAATCAACTAGTCCGTTTAGAATTAACAATGCCAAGTATGAATTTATCAAACCCAATTGAAACAATCGCAAGTTGAAGTGTCACCCTTCAACAATTCTCAAAATCCAAGACAATGATTGAAAAACCCTAATTAAAGTTTATCTCGCATAAGAAGAACAATCAACGAACACCCATAATCACAAATGATTCAAAACTTCAATTCCCTATTCCCTAGCATATGAATTTAGCTACTCATCTCGATTCTCACATAAACATTCACATCAACCCAAGAAATCATCATCACACACAAATGAGAAGAAATACTTACGATTAATGTAAATCCAATGTCGGGAAAGCAACGAGAAATTCAAATCCAACGTTAGAAAGGGAGTTTTTACTCTCCAAATCCAATCTAAATGCAAATCTAAGAGAGAAAAGATGTTTTCTATGGAGAAAAGTCGAAAAAACAAGGTCTGGA